AAGAGCTGGAAGGTAAAGCAGCACAAAGGTAAAGTAGAAGGAGCAGAAAGGGTCAGAAATGAGCTGGAAGGGGCAGAAGGAGCACAAACATAAAGAAGGAGAATGAGCAGGAAGGGCCTGCAAGGAGCAGGAAGGAGCACAAAGGGACAGCAAGGAGCACAAAAGGTAAAGGAGCAGAAAGAATCAGAAGGAGCACAAAGGTAAAGTAGGAGAAAGAGCAGAAAGGGACAGCAAGGAGCACAAAGGTAAAGTAGAAAAGGGGTGAGAAAGGGTCTGCAAGGAGCAGAAAGGGATCAGAATGAGAAAGGAGCAGAAGGGCGCAAAATAAGCAGAAAGTAGCAGAAAGGTAAAAGAGCAGAAGGGGCCAAGGATAGAAAACAGTGTCAGAAGAAAAAAAAAGACTGTCAAATGAAGGAAAGGAAAATGAGATTGGAGCAGGAAGGACAAATGAAGTCAACCCTCCACTTTATTCTGGACACCACATCATAAGGCTTTGGTACCTGGGCCTGGCAGGGAAACGCTGGACCTTCTCATCTCCAAAGCTAAAAAAATATCGGTGTTAATGTGTTCACTTTTATTTACTGAGTGTCAGGAAGCACAGAGTGCTGTTGGGTAGGGGTGTTGCTGATTGGCTAGAGCGGTCAGCTGGCACTCTAAGCCAATCAGTAGCTCCCCATTCATAAAAAAGTAAAAATATTTTATGAACCGGGAACTAGCGATTGGCTTAGAGCGTCAACTGACCACTCTAGCCAATCAGCGGCACCCATGCCTGACGCCAATCTGCACTTCCTGACACTCTGTTTCAGAAGCCAAATACCACTGAGCGACCTGGAGCTGGAGGAAGCCTTTGGGGTTAAACCATTTGAGAGCGATTTAACCCCATAAAGGAAAACGAGCACCCAGGGCTTCCTGGCATCATAGCATTTTCATTTAGGTGAAGTTGTTATGGTGACCAGAAATGTCCTTTAATTTGCTTAAAGGAACACTATAGTGTCAGTAATACAAACATATATTCCTGACACCATAGTTGTGAAAACGCTATTCACCCTGGCTTTATGTGATAATGGCTATGCCCCTTCCCTTTCATGACACTGTCAAAAAGGTACCAAGCATGGATGTCATTACAATTATGCCCCCCACTGGAAAAATTCCTGCGGACGCCCATGCTGAAGGCTCAGAGGTAGGAACACAGGTTCAAATCCCCTGTTGGGTACCTCTAGGGCGACCTCGTCTGGAAGTCTGGATGTCACGGTGAGAACTATGATAAACAGTTAGATACAATGTACACTATGAACAGTATACAGGAATGTTATATAATGTATGCCCAGCGCCAATGTCCCGAGGTAACCCTGTAGCGAGTCTGTGCCTTCGAGGGCACCTGCACTGTCATGGATAAAGCTCGCTATCTAGTGCTGTCTGCCAAACTGAGATTCTCCTGCTGTGTTACTATAAAATTGTTCAGGTATCAGAACCTCAGCATCAGTGGAGTTCAGTTCCTTTAAATTGAACTAATAATCTCTGGACAGAAAACACAGTAGTGCAGAGATAACTGTGACATGTAAAGGAAATATAGATGTGCAGCTCAGGCTAGTTTGTAACAAAACTAATAATGGTCAGGTAGCCATTGGTATGTAAAAGCTGAGCCAAGCTGGTCATCAAGCGGGGGAGAATGCCCAAGAACACACAAAGGTTTAATGCAGCACAGTCATGTCTGCATCTGTAATTTTTTAAACCCCCCTCCCAACAGCACTACATTTTATTGTCACCCCCAAACACCTCTGTCCCCCATTTCACATTTGTTTACCTTTTTATTTCATATCTGGATCTATCTCCTAGGTGCCATCATCTTAGTGTTCCCATGTGAAGATCCTGTGGGACCAGTCTTCTGCCAACGCTGTGAAATTCCTATACAGACTTGGGCATTTGCTTTTCTCTGAAATTCAGATTGGGATATTGGCTATTCCTTCATTCATCAGAAAGACAAATTAATAAATAGAAATTGCAAATAATGAACG